TCCAGTGCCAAGTCCACGGCAAGCACTCAGGAAGCATTGGTCAAGAGTAGTGTGGTGAGGCCTCCCTTTGTCTGTGCTCTCCATCCACTTGACTTTTCCTTCACAACACCCACTGCCAAAGCAGTTGGATTAGTGATGTGCGCACACCTTTGTTTGTTGCCCAAACCCCCAATTAGCCAACGGGTTGCATGACGGCAGGGAGAACCTGGGCCTCCCTTGCTCAGCGTTGCTTCTCGGGGCACAATACACAGTAGGTTCTCAGTAAACACTTGTCAAGTGCTTGGAGACATATAATCACTGCCTTGTTTTTGTTGTCCAGAGCCCCCTGCCTTTAACAGCAAAGTAAATACAGAAACGGTTTCCCTTGACCAGTGGGAGAAGCCAGGATGGAAATTTCAGCCACCCCGAAGGACTATGACATGACCACAGAATATGACTATGGGGGCTCAACCCCCTGCCAGAAGACAGAGGCGAGGGCCTTTGGGGCCCAGCTGCTGCCCCCCTTGTACTCCCTGGTATTTGTCGTTGGCCTGATTGGCAACATCCTAGTGGTCCTAGTTCTCATGCAATACAAGAGGCTCAGAAGCATGACCAGCATCTACCTCCTCAACCTGGCCATTTCTGACCTGATCTTCCTCTTCACACTGCCCTTCTGGATTGACTACAAGCTGAAGGATGACTGGGTTTTTGGGGATCACATGTGTAAGTTGCTCTCTGGGCTCTATTTCATCGGCTTGTACAGTGAGATCTTCTTCATCATCCTGCTCACCATCGACAGGTACCTGGCCATTGTCCATGCAGTCTTTGCCCTGCGGGCTCGGACCGTCACCTTTGGTATCATCACCAGCATTGTCATCTGGGTCCTGGCTATCTTGGCTTCTGTCCCAGGATTTCACTTTTCCAAGACCCAGTGGGAGTTCACTCACTATACCTGCAGTCTTCATTTTCCTCATGAAAGCTTAAGAAAGTGGAAACAGTTCCAGGCTCTAAAATTGAACATCTTGGGGCTGGTGTTACCTCTGTTGGTGATGATCGTCTGCTACACAGGGATTATAAAGATTCTGCTCAGACGACCAAATGAGAAGAAGTCCAAAGCTGTGCGTCTGATTTTTCTCATCATGATCATCTTCTTTCTCTTTTGGACCCCCTACAACCTGACTGTCTTTGTTTCTGCTTTCCAAGACTCCCTGTTCACCCATGAGTGTGAGCAGAGCAGACAGCTGGACCTGGCCATACAAGTGACGGAGGTGATTGCCTATACCCACTGTTGTGTCAACCCCGTGATCTACGTCTTTGTTGGTGAGAGATTCCGCAGGTATCTACGTCAGTTGTTCCATAGAGCAGTGGCTAAATGGCTCCCCTTCCTCTCCACTGAGAGGCTGGAGAGGGTCAGCTCCATGTCCCCCTCCACAGGGGAGCATGAACTCTCTAATGGGTTCTGACTCAGCCCCCTGGAGGCTGATCCAGGACCCAGGAAGAGTAACCTGCCAGCCATGCTGCCTGGAGCCGAGACGGCTTGTCCCTCCTGGCTGGATTCTGACGCCTGACACACCGTGGAGTGGTAGCCACGCAGGGTTGAAGGAGCTTCATGGCAGTATAGACTATATCACCTGTGGGGCTTGAGTTTCCCCCTGGTCGTCTCTTTGGTAAAAGGAGATCAATGAATGAAATGGTACATTGCTGAAGAGTGGGACAAAAGATGACAGGGAAGGTCTTGGTCCCAACAAAGTTTCAGACTTGTGAACAGTAACATTTGTAAGCCAAGCCGCTGAGCATCCCCCACCGCTGCCCCCATCAGCAATGACTTGGAAATAGTGATTTTCATAGTTGACCCCACTCTGAGCCCAGAGCTTGTCAGGTGCCAGCAGCCACCTCCACCCACCTCACCCCCACTGCAGACTGTAGCATCCTAGACACCCGGAGAAAACTAGAACTCATGATGCAAGAACTTGAGACCTGATGGGAAATAGGATTGGGGAACTGCTATGGGCCGTGGAACTAAGAAAACCCTTAGAGAGATCTTTATATTTATTAATCCAACGGTTCAGGCAGTGGGCTAGACACAGACCTAATGTATCAAATGTTGTACTTCTTGAAATAACCATACAGGGAATGATGTCATTATTTCCTTTTACCATTCATTTCTTCCTAGGTATTGTTCAGAATCTCCCTTCCCTGAAAGTTGAGGAGCAGGGCAGTTAATTCTGACAGCTTTGTTGAGGCATTTGCTAATGGGCAAAAGGAGATTGGGCTGGTTTTCCTCCTCTGGTTCTCCATCCAGTCCTTCTGGCTTTATGGATCAGAGGCTGGCTGCCACCTTGGACCCACCACTAGGACCATGACCTGGTTTGCAAGCTGACGGGGTTTGAGGCCAGTGGGGGTACAATGTCTACCAGGAAGGGTGGGCACTCTGCCAGTGCCAGAGTTTGAGGGGCCCTTAAGTCAAGCTCATTTATCCCAAAGATCCTTAACACTTCAGCTCTCACCAAGGACCTCCTGTCCATTGTGTCTTTCTTCCTCTTTGCCTCAGATGTATGTTTCCTTAAAAATGATGTTCTTAATAAGAAAAATGATTTTCGAGAAAAGCTTAAAAACACAAAGGGGGAAAAAAATGAACATCTGAATCACCCATAATCCCACTACCT